TGAGTCATTCAAGAGTCAGTCTTAAGTTTACTCCTCTTTCTTGGCAACATTCATCAATAAGGCATTTCTTCGTTGGTGAGGAAAATAGGGTATTACGGTGTGATGCATATATTCTGTTTCAATTATGAAGTCTCTGTCCTCACCATTCTGCTATCAATCATATGACTCGAGACATGTAAGACTAGATTGTGCGGAGAAATCGGTCAGTACTGGGTAACCAAAGTAGCTCTCTCGTTTTGAATGTTCAGCACTGATCTAAGCCTATCAATGAAGTTTAGACTATATTGCATATTGTTGCTTGTTTTTAGCAGTCAATTGGCAGGAATGTTTGAATTTTCAAACCTATTAAGAAGTTAAGTTGCATTTGATGAAACAAGATCGTTTAGAGATTTATTTTCAGATATCAAGTTATGCAAAATCAAAACTGTTTAACAGTTTATCTTGATAGTGTTTACAGACTTGATAACCTTTAAGTATGTTTTGTTTTACTATTATTACTTACAAATTCTTGTTGATATCTACATTTAATCAAAGTGTTTACAATAATTTTTATCTCTATACTTTACTATATAAGCCATCTGTAAAAGATAAACAAAATCTTTGGATCAAATGAAATGAATTTTAATACATTCTCGCTATCTCCAACACTCTCAAGTAACTCGTCTGTTTATAAAGTGTGATCAATATTCTTTGAACAACAACTAATCGGTTCATTTATTTACCACTTTATCGGATAAACCTGATAACCTTTCTGTTCATGTATTATCATTCATTTTCCCATTCTTTGACTAAGATTATCGTGGGCGTTGATAAATTGACCAGAATACTGATATATTCAATTAACAAGTTGAAAACACCTTATGAACTTAAAGTAACAAAATAGTTTACAGGTATATTTCAGTTTTATCCAGTGTTTTAAAAGAAAAAAAGTGGTTACTTATACTGAAATGGAAATCAAAAGTTGTTTACAGATCAAACAGTTCATTGTGAAATTTACTATGAAAATAGATGAGAGCTAACTAAAAAAAGTCAACGAAATCATACTTTGAAACCAAAATGTTTTGATCTTAATGTTTTAGCTTTCAAGTCTCCAACGTTGATTGTACCGAATTAACCTATCAATATTGGCATAGCGGCTTCTCTGCAAATGCCACGATATTGTCGAGATCTTCGGTCTACATATTATTGATGGATGGTTACTAGAAGTGGAGTCCGGAATGCTCGATTCCTCCTATTTGAGACCGGTCAGTTGGATGCACTCTCCTCTCAGTGAGTGATGTTGTTCCCCCTAAGACTCTCAGAACCAATCGATTCAAATGTAAGGGCATCATTCATTAGGCTATTAACTCTAGATTACCACTCCTTAATTGACGGCAACAGTATAGTTTTTATATTATGACTCATAAGTCTCCTCTGTTAATAGGAGCGAACCGATTGGTAGAGACTTATCAGCTATAACATACAAAAATTAGGCCACATCGACCATACGATTGGTTGTCGTGATTATGTGGGCTAGAGGATTACTTCTGTTATTATTATTAGTCCTTTGGATACCTAGTGGAACATACCACTTCAATAGCACTTCACCATTTCACTCTCTTCTCTGCAGTCTTCAAAACCTGGCTCCACGACTGCCCACAAGCTTTCATTTCTTTCTCACACTACCTCCCCCACGTCACCCTCGCCTAGGATGCCCAACTGGTCGTTTCCTATTTGGGTTCTACTCAATGGCTCTGCCCTTCTAGTGATATCCCCAATCGGGCTTCTCAGTCTATGTCCAATCCATTCTAATTTATCTCCACCTTCTTCTTCTGCATATTTGTTGATCGATGGGTTCTTATTTGATTCATTGCCAGGCCACATTTCCTTGTTGCTTATTCTTTGTGGTCATACGTCTGATCTTGGGTATCAAGCGTAGACAGCTGTTGATGAATGTCTGCAGTTTGTTGGGAATGCTTTTTGTGACGCGTCAATTCTTTGAACCATCTAGAAGCACTGACATAATATTGGTGTTGAGAATTCGTATCTTGTTCTTTATGCCTGTCTTGCTTTTCTGATCCTGGCTTTCACATCATCTATGCCGCCTGTAGTTGAATGGATACTACCTAGGTAGGTGAAAGAGGCTACTTCCTTTAGGTTTCTCCAGTAATGGCTATTGGTGCCTGTTATTATTGGTTGGGTATCTTCATCATCTCTGTCTCTCAATAATCATAAACCTGCCACAAAGAATTTGTGCAGTTCATATAACTATACAGATCCAAAGTGAACACGAAAAAATGTTGTTACACTAAAGTGTAAAACACAATCCTAAGAAGTACAGTGTATTCAGAACAGAAAAACTATCATTCATAAGATCAGTATTCACTGCATTTATTATTTCGAAACAATATGAAGACAATTATGTCTCATCTGAGTTGATTAAAATGTACAGATTACTGATGAAGTCATTTTCCTTCGCTAGCCTCTGGTAAGCCAAACCAGATAATGTTCTGCAACATGGTTTTGGATGCCCTACTTACAACGTCTAATATAGTCAGCTTCTCAGGAGCAGGTGAATTTGAAGATACACATAGAAGTGGACATAAATGGTAGACTATCCTTCACTCATTGTCGAATCTGACGGCGGCTGGAGAATATCAATCTCGGTCTAGCAACATAAAAGCTACTACTGAGACGCCTCGACAAATGGTTTTTCAGTATTTATTCTGTGGCGTTTTCTTTGAATTTCAGATTCATGGTTAGGATTTTCTTCGGAACTTTAGTAGGATGAGGAGTGATTCGTTTCTTCAGATTCTTATCAATAAATCTTTTACGGTATCCGTTATTCGACTTTGTTTTTCTAATAATTTCCATTTCAACATACATTTTGTCTTCTCAACATATTTTATAGACTCAGCGCCCAATATTTGTCATTCTATACGATCACATCTTGATAATAGTTTATGTAAATTACTCTGTAATATTTTATAGACTCTGGAACACACCGAGTGAATGAAATTTTCTTTTACAACTAAGAGGTAGCCAACTACTAAAGTTAGGGAACTGGTCGATCCAGGTTCGTTTGCGATAGACTGACCTTTGAATCGAGCCATCACCCCTTCTCTTTAACATTACATCTAGAAATTGGAACGTTGAATTTAACTCTTCCTCTACAGTGAATTTAATGGACAGGTGACAATCACTGAAAAGCCTTATCAGCTCGTCTATTGGACAAGTTTCGTCGCAAATAAGAGAACTATCCTCCCTGCACCTTTTATACGAATGAAATTCCAAGATTATTTCCTTAAGTGGCTCGTTTTCGAGATTTGCCATAAATATATCAGCCAGGACAGAGCCTAGTGGAGACGCCACTGCTACTGCATGCGTCTAATTATAGATCATATCATTAAATCTGAACTGTACATTAAAAGTAGATCTTAATATCAGTTCTTTTAGGTGGCTTTTAGGTGAAACAATGTTAATACTATCAGAATCAATATAATCACACATAACAAATGGTTTCAACAAGTGGAACATTAACTAATAAAAAACAAAACAGCAAGCAATATCATATGCATACCCACTACTTTGATTTTTTCGACAATGCTTGAAGGATAGGCTACCACTTATGTCCACTTCTATGTGTATCTACAAATTCACATGCTCCTGTGGAGCTGACTATATTGGCGCTCCGAAAACGTGTTGCTGAAAATTATAGATTATTGTTGAATGAGCTGTTTTTCTTCCGAAGTCTGACGCACTTATCCTTTCTAAGTTACGTTGCGTTCCCTCAGGTGAGTGATATAATCACTAGGCTTTCATTGTGTGTTTTCTAGACAAAATCGTCAGCTCTAACCTGAGTTACAAGCGTTCCCCACCATTTCATTTATCACTTATTTTGTCCATTTTTTAAAATCATCCACTCAGATTCAGTTAACAGATGTTTATTTTATAAATGAGCACATAATTCGTCAATTTAGACTATCTTTTGATACAATTTTAGTAAACATATGATGGTTGGATTGTAATGACTTATTGCAAACTTAATCAACTTTCCTTTCATGGTAGCAGTATTTTAAAGGATTTTTATTAGTGTGTTAAATTTCACCAGCTATTATCACGGGAATTCCCCATGCTATATGAGTCAGTCTGATGAACAGTGTTGTCCAGAATTTCGATATAACAGTAAGCAAATGAGTTACAAAAAATAATCCAAATATCCCACTTTATTTCGTTAACTTAAACAGAAATATTTACAGTGGTGTGAAGTGATAAGGAATGACATTAGTGATCGAGCCTGTCAGAATTTTGACGACTGATCTCTATACAAATTTGATTCTTAGCACTGCGAAAAATACTTTTACATCAGATTATTTTGTAATCTGTAAATAACATTGCATGATCTCCATACAAAACCATTGCAGTTTAGTTGGGAGGTTTGTTAGGACTGATTGATTGTAAAGTAGTTATCATCCAAAAATTAAATCGGCTGGATAATCATTGTAAACCCGAAAGAACTAAAAAGATCTAGGGCGTATCTGCTAACTTAACAGAAGTGAAACCCAAGATCTTGAGGTTTCGCCGAAAGCTAAGTTGATCTACAGTTCTAATGAGAAGCTGTGGCCTGTCACGTAAATCAAGTGAAACGTGAGGATAACTACTCAGATAATTTTCCTGCTATATTGCAAAATGACAGTAGTGTGAAAATATTGACCAATGGATTCCTATCCTATGGCTCAATGGTAACGTGTTAACTGCGAGAACTTGTGGTCCTGAGTCCAATCCTTGGAAAGGCAGTATTTGCGTACTGCTTACGAGTAGCATACCAGAACAAAACGGCTGTTTAATGCTCTCTTATGTTTAATAGTTCTCTAACTGGTATGGATTCATGGTGAATACTACATTGAAACCCTTGCACAACTGTTTTTACAAGATGTTTAATTCGTGTATTTAACATTTTATCAACATACCTCCATCAACCACAAACTACTAATCTACAATCGAATACTTTTACTTTGCAGACTTCAATTACTCAGTTATTGGTAATTATCTATGTCATCATAGTAGTACTGGAAATGAAATGTCAAAAGCAGGTTGTCACGCTGAAAATGAACGAAAAATTACAGTTATTCAACAAATCGAAACAATGAAATCCAATGAATATCCTATATACTTTCAAAAATACCAGACAAACAGAAGTCAACTTTCACATGAGCATTGCAATGAAATGGTAAGTTGTTATTGTAACATAAACCTAATGATTTGATCTAATCTTCGAGATATTCTGTTCACATTCAGTTAGTAATATTCACACAAGCTAATTTATTATGATTTTCATTTTACTTTAAAATAACAACCACACTTTTTGAAAACTTGAAAGGTTTATTCTAAGAATCGTAAATGTTCGAATGATGTAAATAATTACTATCAGAGATGCCGACTGTCTTAAACGATGATACATTGCAACAGGTTTCCTGAAATGTTTTTTTATTGAAAAGCTGGACATGATAGTTATGTCATTGATGCCGTCATGAAAGACATTTTGTGTAATGTCATCAAAGACGATTTTGTTATTTGCCGCTGGCAGCATTTATTGGTAACTGTTATACTCGTCAGTGAATAATACTTGTTTATCCATTAAATGTATTCAGTAACATCGTTAGTAGTTACTGAACATATTAAATATCACTGTGTTGTTAGATGCTGAGTGTCGATTACCAGCAGACCCTTCTTAATACAGTCTCATGCTTCTTGGAGCTTATCACTGGGAAACATCTTCAACAAAGTGAATATTCTCATATGTAAGATTGCTCGCATGTTTTGTACATATTTTGATGATGGGATAAAATATTAGCATAGTTATAAAATTCAAAGGCCATTTGAATGGTTTAAAGAATAATCTTTTCCATAACATCTTCAGGCCCGACAGTTATACGTACTTACTGAGGAATTGTGTGTCGACAATACTGATACTTTGTTTATGAGTTTGTAAGTGAAAGTATAAAGGTTGGAGAGTTCTCTTTAGAAACATCTTATACAGAAGGTAGTGATAGAAGCACTGGTTACTGAGATTCAATTCATCAAAATAGCTGTTTACTTAAGCGATTATACAACGAAGGTAATGCTTTGAGGTGATAGTTTAATAGAGCCATGAGAAGGTGATTGTGAGAGTTGAGAGGGATAAACTAAGGAAGATAATTTGAGTGACAGTACTTTTGTAGGATGTCACTCGTGCTGAGAAACACAACAGGACGAGAGAACTTGCTAAAATTACTTCAGATTATAGAGATGAAGGCGTATCTACAGTACGGAGTTAGATTATCTCCATCCCTACAATCTGAAATAATTTCAACACATTCTATTTACCTATTTTGAGTAACACTAACTTTTCTTAGTTTAATTCATCCAAATCTAATATATACCTACACCGTGTAATCGGTTAGATAACCAGTTATTTTGGAATGAATTGATTTTGTCAACAACAGTGTAAGGATTGAAGATAAAATTGAAATCTGGGTCGTCACAGGATTCAAACCGGTGGCCTCCGAGTTTCCGGTTTGGTACTCTACCAAGTGAGCGATAAGACTCATCTCTTGATCTTACCCCTTATTTCACTCCAATACCCAACGGTTTCGTTCAACTGCCATGTGAATTCGTGATGAATAACTATTCGTTGAATGTGTTCACATCGACTGACGAGACAGATCTTCATGTCCTGATCCAAATCCAGCTTAATTAGGTGACAAGAGCCTCAAACTGATTATCGATGAGGCAGCTGTTGTCTGGTAGACAGTTATTCTTAACGACTTTCTGAAAAACTCAGTTTAAAATGGCATATTGTAAGTGTAGTGTAGCCAGTAAAATGGGTGAATGGAAGACAGGGAGTAATAGTTGGAACGAGAGATAAATTAGTGGTGAACTGTAGATGTAGATTAACATTCGTCTCTGTTACAACTACTGTGCTACATTTGAATGCAAAACATATGCATTTATAGAAAACCTTAAGGTGATTACAAGTAAACGAATAATTACTTTAATTTAAATATTCCTACTTCATTTTATCTGTTTTTGTCATACAACACTGAAACTGAAACACTAATGGAATAGAAAAGTCATAAAAGTTAAATCTCGAGGCACCTATTTTACAATCTAACAGTTAGCGTATCCTATCCTAATTATGCACACGCTATTTTATCAGTGAACAATCTTGTGCGCAGTTACCTGGAAATATACTTTTAAAAACTCCCTGTCAGATGTGAAGCATAAGCACAAACTAACAATTTTCATTCTTGTTCTGCTCATGACGAGTAAACAGTGAAACAACAGGAACAATATTTTGGAAACAAACTTCCAATTTCTAGTACAGTCCTTCAACTGTATGTCCATGCACAATGTGTAACTGGCTGAATAATGTTGAAAATACTGAAACCGCCATGCAATGTAGTAATTGAATGATAACCTGTCACTACCAGACTTCACTTCTTTGAGTTGTAAAAGGTAAAACGTCCTGAAATGATTGGAAAAACAATAAAACTCTGCTTATCGATTGCAAATATTTTTTCATTCGATAAGGATTAATTGATGGGTAAAATCAACAAGGATCTTAGCATACAGGTGCACTGGCTCCAGTTGCTACAGTTCACAGTAGACAGAAAGAATAATCGGATTAGAAAGGAGTGATATCGAAGTAGGTGATATAGTTCGAGAACATGAACATTCTGCACATGAGTTAATGCGATTATTCAAGCTTTTGAAGACAACAAGCAATCAGTACGTCTACCTTATTGTGACTGATTTTCAGCCCTCTTGCATGGTGTCCTCAAAGGCTGAGTTGTTTTGTTTCGACCATCTCAACCAGGCATTTATTATCTCTCCATGCATATCCAAGCGAACTGAGTCAACTGAGATTCATGACGTCATCAGTCGACATGCCTGTCTTATTTAGTATACTTCACCTGATCTAAACGCTTCTCGTCCGGTGATTCCAACAAATGCAGGCACTGTTACGAAAACATCTGTGATCAAAACTCAATAACTGCTTCATGTTTTCTTCCTTCTAATGCCATACTTGACAGCTGTATAACAGGACAGAACGGAGTGCAGTGCAGTTTATTCGTTTTTTTGATAGATAGTCGGATATCTCGCTGGATGGCGCCAAAGGTGACCCATGTTGGCAAGTACCAAGACTACCTTCAGTATCTGAGCTGAGATTTCGCCAGATGATGCAAATTCCAACTTTAGTGAAATGGTAGAATGTATCGTTCACTTCACTCCCTATAAATAAACTGGGAATGGTTGCAAACCAGTTGTGGAGCGTCATCTTTCATTTGACAGGTAATAGTGAAAGACGTGCCAAACAATGTGCTGTGGCACTAAAATTTCAAGAGAAAATATATAAATAAACGGAAGCAGTAGCGTTGAGATCTTCAATATCCCTCCTCGTAACAGACATATTTATGGACAGTTCAGAACAAACAGTATAAGGGACATTTGTAGATGACCCATTTACTGTACTAAAATCAGAACACATTCAGAGTTTTTCACACACACTGACTCAACAGTAGATACAACTTAATTCACCAATGAATTACAAGATGAAGGAGAATCACCAATGTTAGATTGCAAAGTCAAGGGGAGAGAAGATGGAAACTTGGATATCAATGTTCATAGGAAACCAACACGTTCAAAAAGGTACTCGAATTTCGCATCATCTCTTACGGCAAGCTTGATAAAATGTCTAAGTAATCGGGCTAGAAGTTTGACTAGCAAGTCAGGAAACCTGAACAAGGAAATGAAACAGACAAAAGAGACACTTTTTCTCAATAAATACCTTTCGGAATTTATTAAAAAGTTTATAAGGACTGATAAGAGAAGGAAGAGTGATGTTAGGGATGATTGCAACAAGCCTAACAAGGAATTTAATCCTCTATAATGTTGCCATATTAAGAAGCCACATTGAAATGTTGCGTAGGTTTCTTAACAGTGGTGGCAGTAGGGTGGCATTTAAACCTACATAATTAAGAAAAATAACCTAACCTATCAAATACAATGTGGTGACTGTGAGGTCAAGTATGTAGATGAAAAAAGCAGACCTGGGTCAGTCAGAATAGAATGATACAAAAATTTAGCTAAATAAACGACTGTAGACCCTACCAAGATAATTAGTTTAGAGGAAAACTCGGCTATCGCTGTGCTTCCACTCGTCCATAATCACACTGTAGGGTGGGTAGGACAGGGTGACAGTTCTAACACATATAACACGGATGACTCATCACATATTGCAGATATCTGAAAAATTTTACAACCATTAACATAATAGAAAGAACAAGCATTGCACTACACAAAGAATGTTTGAAAGTCGTATGATTACCTATATATGAATATGAGTAATAAATTCTGTTCTAAACATCATGCAGTAAATAACACTGTGTCACTGTGTGCTATTACAGTCAAATAAACAATCTAATATGGAGATGTATTGTGTGATTGATACTGCAGCCACCTTAGAATAAGCAGAAAAGTTGATATAGTATATATTTTATAGAAGGAAAAGTGTTTCAGTATAGCTGCATTCACATAACGCTGAAGAGAAGAAAACGACCTGATTAAGAGATATTATAGCCACTACCAAGAAAATGAGTCATTCAGCTAAGAAAATAAAAAGACTGAAAATAACCTTATGTAATCAATCAAGGCTTTCCAACAGATAAAAATGTTGGTAGATAGTGCAGCTAACATGTAGTTCAGGCCAAACAAAACTACTTTTGTACACATAAAGATGGTACAAATTTGTGTATGGCTATCACCTCAGCAAATCTCAATATACGTCCCACACCGTTTCTATATAAAACTTTGAAAGTTGTTTGGACCTATTTCTGTGGTATGTTTAGCTATATATAAGAAAGGACGTTTCCCAATAGTGTTTATCATAGTTTCCCACTCCATCTGTTTAGACATGCATTCTGCCACCCTCAACTGCATGGCTTGATTACTTCTCCTTACGTAGGTGTGGCCATACACACATATAAATTGGTAAACAAAATGGGATGTGACGTAATCACTGATGCAGTGGTTAGGTTTGTGATGAGGCATATGTTTTGTTTCCTCAACAGTAATAAGATTAGCTGAGTAATATGATTTCCTAGTGGCTGATGTTAGCCCACATCTCAAAACGATACTATGCAACTCCTCGCTGTATGGTAGAGTGATACTGATTTTTATCTTAGGAAC